CGTCTTAATTAAGGACAGTTAACTTAGAAGAATGATTTACTTTCTTACTTGTGCCTGTTACCCCCAATGGAGCATAGGCCGCCACAAGTTTTCTCCTACCAACTCTGTCCTCAACTTCCCTTCACAGTTCTGTTCAATTTTCGTTCATTCTTCTCATGTCTTTCTCTATTTCTCTGCGTAATTTGTTCCTTGGCCTTGAGGGTTCAAAGTGAGGGCTTGTCTTATGACACAGTTCGGTGATTTCCTCGATAAATGTATTCCATCCACTTCCATCGCTTGTTCCGGATTTCCTCCTCCACTCGAATCTGGTTTGTTTTCTCCCACAGTTCGTTGTTGCTGATGGTGTCTGGCCAACGAATCCGAAGTATTTTGCGTACACAACTGTTAATAAACACTTGTATCTTCTGGATGATGGCTTTCGTAGTTCTCCAGGTTTCCGCTCCATACAGTAGAAGTGTCTTGGCATTTGTATTGAAAATGCTGATTTTGGTTTTGGTTGAAAGTTGTTTGGAGTTCCAGATATTTTTCAACTGTAGAAATACAGCCCTTGCTTTGCCAATCCGCGCCCTCACATCTGCGTCCGATCCACCTTTCTCGTCGATGATGCTGCCAAGATATGTGAAGGTGTTAATGTCCTCCAAGGCATCTCGATCAAGAGTGATTTGGTTGGTGCATGTTGTGTTGCATCGGAGAATTTTGCTTTTTCCTTTATGTATGTTGAGACCTACTGCTGCAGAGGCTGCTGCTACACTGGTCGTCTTCTCTTGCATTTGTTGTTGCGTGTGCCACATAAGAGCCAGGTCATGTGCGAAGTCCAGATCTTCCAGCTGCGTCCTAGCTGTCTGCTGGATACCATGACTCCCTCAAGATGTTGAAGTCTTCATAATCGAGCAGGATGATATGAATTCATTATATTTCGAAGTTTCTCATCAGTCGCTAACAATAATCTAGGCGCAAATCTCAACTCTCGCATGAAACCTATTCATTTGTTCATGTATTTTTCCAACTATTTCATAGACTCTTATTCAAACTATGTTGAAGCTACTATCACTTTTCAGTCTAATGAAAACCTATTATAAAGAGTCATCTTTGTTTTAACAGTGAATAAAGACTTATTTGCTAAGTTCATTTATTTATTGACGATAACATGAACTACTAAGCTGATATTCCTTAGTGCTGAATTTTTGTTGATCGACAGAAAAAATAAGCCATGGAAGATAGAAGAGATGAAAGTAGCTATGTTCAGTCGAAAATTTCAAATACTTTCTCTCTTGCAATGAATAATGGTTATGTCTTGACCATCTATCTCAACTTCGCTGACGAAAGGATTCCCAGTCATTTATAATATTAATGATAATAATAATAATTTTAACTGGATTCATAAATCGATTAGTGTGAGACCACCAATGCAAACCTAGACAGACGTTTTGTCCTAATATGGGACTAATCAGCGGAGAGTAACATTTGAATCAAATTCAGAAAACTCAGTCTCGCACTCGAATGCCCAACCTACAGACTACTGAATAGTCATCTTATGGTTTTATTATCTAACTTAGATCAGTCCACGATATTGTGAATGATTTCAATTAGTAACTGAAACATATTCAACACTGACTGAACTCCACAGATCCCAGCTTCTAACTAGAATTCCAAGAATTTCCTCGCAAAACTAGTTATTAGTGAGCACATAATGAAATTCAACAATCTCCTTAAACCCTATAATGAAACTAAAAATAATTCTGAATCATCACACAATCATTGTTAGATCATCACCATTAGAAACCTCAAAACACTGGATGGCCGTTTCATCCTGGTATGGAACTCATCATTGGCAGTGCACATCCCTAGATTGATCAGAGTTAGATATTCACACTCTTGGATGCCAGCTTAGTAGTCTAGAGGTTAGGCGTTCGCGCGCAGCACTGAAGGTCATAGGTTCGATTCCTGCTGGTAGCAGGAGTCATGGATGCGCACTGCTGATGAGTCCCATAACAGGACAAAATGGCCATCCTGTGCTTCCAGGTTTCTAATAACAATGAATGACTGATGATTTCAATGTGTAAAAACACTTCTCCATAACTGTAATTGAAAAAAATAATTCTATTTGTAATTTTGGTCCATTTGCAGCAGATGAGAAACTCTAAAATATTCAACAAACACTATCATTTTAGCTTCATTGAAATTAATCGATCATTTGTAAATTACAACTGAAATAAATACTCATTGTTAGTAATTTCTAATTCAGATTACAATAATAACAATTCAAAATATTTGTTGTTTAAAACATTTAAATAATGTTTCAATTCCTATTTTACTCTGGCCTTTAGGATTCTTAGTGACAGCTTGCCTTGTGACGTAGTTGGATGCTTTCCTCAATGTGTGTCCTATCCACTTTACAGAGCTTCTTCCTAATTTCCTTCTCCGTTGGAATCTGGTTTGTTCTCTACTACAGTAGGTTTGTGGAGTTGGTATGACAAACTTATTTTGTAAATAGTTTTTGATGCTATTTGT